GCAGGCGACTGCGACGAGTTCCTCGTGCACGGTGCAGAGCACCAGCAGCTGAACCTGAGCCTTCTACCTGCTTCGTTCGGCACATTCGGCAGCCGCGTGTGCTTTCTGCCGTGGCACAAGTGCACAATGAGTCCCGGCGCTACAGGACCATGTCTCTTGGTAAGGGTTCCCGTGGCGCTCCCAGCGCGATGCAGCGGAAGGTCGCCAGCTCGCTCGGCATCAGCGCAGGACCCCGAAGTGGTGCCAAATCGCGGTACTGGTTGCAGGGTGGTGTAGCCGTGGAGATGCCCGTTGCGATGGACCCCGCCTTCTGGCGTGACGTGGGGAAGGAGTTTCATCGTCTGTGCAGCAACGCTTCCTTGACAGAGGTGTCGCTGCTCGACTTGCACGAGGTTGTTCGCAGCGAGCGGGCCCGCCGCGCCCGGGTGGCGCTGCCAGCTTCTACTGCGAGGAGGGGGAGCTTGAGGTGCGAGCACAGGCCGGAGTGCTCACGATCTCGGGCGGCACGGCGTTCCGGCCGCACGTGCGGGGCCCCGATGCACTCGACCAGTCCACTGACGACGCCCTGCGGCCGCTGCGAGACTACTTGACCAGTCGGACCGAGGCGTGCTTCGACTGCCCGTCGGTCGCGCGGCAAAGGTCAGAGGGTGACGCGGCCCGGGCGTGCGAAGACGGTAGACCCACCCAGCTGAACATGGCGGGCATAGTGCGCATTGTGAGCGACATCGGCAGCAGTGCTGAGTACTTCGGCAATCTGCGCAGCGTGTTCGTGTCAGCAGACCTCGAGTTCGCAGGAGTGGACGGCATCTCGGTGAGCTCTGAGCAGCCGCGATTGCACTCGTCGTTCGAGGCTCGACTTCCCTGCGGTCCTGACACTGCCACAATGAACTGCCGCATGGGCTCGTCGCTGTCGGGGCTGGGCGCAGTATCGTTCGTGCTTGGCTCGGCCTCCGCGCTCAATCACAAGTGCTACGGTCGGGACCCGGACTGGGCCCGCGAGAGCTTTCGGCTCCCCTTGCTGAGCGTGCCCATGATCGAGTCCGAGCTCCAGTCGGTTGTGAAAGACGCTCTCATGCGCTGGGCGGCGTTCGCGCGAGGGCAATGCGCACTCCGTGCTAGCGTCGCGCGCCTCGCATGCAGGCGCCGCTGCATTTGCATTTGAAACAACTGCGATGTTCGTCACTGCGGGGACGTCGTTTGCTGCCGAGTCGTGCGTCTCCATCAGATACATCGTGCAGTTCACAGCCAGCCTCTCGCACACCGAGGACGACAAGCTGCTCGAGCTCCTGGCCTGCGTGAGAGCCTGCCTCAGCGAAGGAGGAAAGCTAAAGGGCTGCGATTCGGGCCTCGACGAGAGGGGCGCGGCCGCAGCGGTGCGGTACCTGCGCAACTTGATGCAGCGAGTTGCGGCGGCTGCCAGCACAAAGGAGGTCGACCGATCATGGGGCCGCGTGTCGCAGCTCTCGCTCGGCATGGTAGCCGACCGAGCACGGCGCCCGCGGCGCGTGCTGATGCGCGGGCTCGAGCACATAGAGTGCGCGCAGCTGCTCATGAAGTTCGAGTGTTTCGCCTCGATGGCGCCGTCGCGGCTCGAGCCCAACATCTCTAGTGCCACCAGGGTCGTCGTGGACGAGCGGGTCCGGCTCTACGGACGTGTTGTCAGAGCGCCAGAGATCGCCAATGCGGCCGAGCGAGCACTTCGCTCCGGACCGCGCCTGAAACGAGGCGTGCAGACGCTCGCCAAGCTCGCGTGCACTGATGCCCAGGATTACGTCCAGGACGGCGTTGCACCGCACTGGGACCCCGAGGTGGTCGACTCGCTGACGAGAAGCGTGAGTACGGCGGACGACCACGGCGACGCCATGACCAGTCTCCACATGCGGAGGATAAGGACTCGGTACAGCGCCCTGCTGGTTGAGGAGCAGGAGAACAGGGTTGCGCGCGTGGCGAGCACCGCGGGAGCAGTCCACCTGTCGTACATGGAGCACACTGGATGTGCGGCGGGCGACTTGAACGGCAAGCAGCACGAGGGGGCATCGCGCCATGTCGAAGTTTCGCCGCGACTATGCCGCAAGGGGCCACAATCAGGACACCGCTCGAGAAGCGGGCGCGGAAGATGAGTTGGAGATGAAGCGGTGCGAGGACGGTTTGCGCTCTAAGTTGCATGCCCTCTTCCGGGCGAGGGAGGACGTTGCCGCTCATGCAGCAGAGACCAAGCGACAGGTGGAGGCAGCGTTTCTGGACTCTTCTCTCGCCGGCAGACAGCGGCCAGCCCCGTCTGACTTGGACCGAGCGCTCCGATGCGCTGCGGGCGCGACGGCCGAACGCCACAGGCTGTCTATGGGCGTGCCCGGCTCGAAGCTGTAATGCATCCGTGCGCTGGACCGCTTGAGGGATTTCTCCTTGTCGCACCCGCTGGCGTACGACGACCTTCTTAGTGGCGACGGGGCACTTGCTGATGGACAAAAAGAGCGCCGCTTGCTGCGCCAAGGCGTTCGAC